AGCCTGAGCAATACAGCAAGACCCTGTCTCTACAGAAAATTAAAAAATTAGCAAGGCATGATGGCACACACCTGTAGTCCCAGCTACTTGGGAGGTTCAGGCAGGAGAATCACTTGAGCCCAGGAGTTTGGGGCTGCAGTAAGCTATGACTGCACTACTGTACTCCAGCCTGGGTGACAGAGCAAGGCTCTGTCCTGGAAAAAAAAAAAAAAAATTCCTCCAAACAGAATTGAGCTGCACCTAGCCACACAAAGAATGCCCCTAGGGAACAAAAGCAAGTGCCCTCCTTACACAGGGAGCCACAGAATCTTAGGGTTGCCAATTGAAAGTTGGGCTGGGCACAGTGGTTCACGCCTGTAATCCCAGCACTTTGGGAGGCCAAGGCAGGTGGATGACCTGAGGTCAGGAGTTCGAGACCAGCCTGACCAACATGGTGAAACCCGGTCTCTACTAAAAATACAAAAATTAAGCCAGGTGCAGTGGCTCAAGCTTGTAATCCCAGCACTGTAGGAGGCCAAGCTGGGCAGATCACAAGGTCAGAAGTTCGAGACCAGCCTAGCCAACATGGTGAAACCCCATCTCTACTAAAAATACAAAATTAGCCGGGTGGCACATGCCTGTAATCCCAGCTACTTGGGAGGCTGAGGCGCAAGAATCACTTGAACCCAGGAGGCGGAGGTTAGAGTGAGCCAAGATCACACCATTGCACTCCGGCCTGGGCTACAGAGTGAGACTGTCTCAAAAAAAAAATTAGCCAGCTACTCAGGAGGCTGAGGCAGGAGAATCACTTGAACCTGGGAGGTGAAGGTTATAGTGAGCCAAGATCATATCACTGCACTCCAGCCTGGGTGACATAGTGAGACTCCATCTCAAAAAAAAAAAAAAGAAAGAAATGATTTCATCTTCCCTGTTCCCCTCCCCGCAACCTGCCTTGATTTTATAGATGAAGAAACTGAGACAGGGCAAAGGCAATGTAGGTCAATGTCCAAGCAGCCCACAGGCCACAAAATGCCTCATGGCTGAGCCAGACCTGGAACCCAGTCTCAAATCCTCCACGGTCCCTTGTCCAGCCATCTACAGACAGGAATGACTTCAACTTCAAATGTGCAGTCTATATGAAAAACATGTATTCATACCCCGCGGAGATGAAGATACATTTTCTAGGGCATGTCATGTTCTGTCCTCGAGGGGAAATGAGGTTTGTTGGGAGACTCATTCTGTAATGTGCCGAGTACCCAGGCCTCCCCATTCACAGGCATTTCACAGCCTGGAAATTGAAGAAGTGACTTGGATGAGTCTGGGGTACTTCCTGGACACCACATCGAAGCTTTCTTCCCATCCATGTGCTTCTCCAAGTAGTATTTTAGGGGTTTTATTTTTTATTTTTATTTTTTTATTTTTTGCTTCAGAAATCAATGAAAGATAGCTACAATAGAGATGAACAAATCCACCAACAGAAATGTGTACCCCTCATAATCTGCCATTACGTAATATTTACTTGCTCTCATAGTGCACCAAGGGTCTGAAAACATGCTAACAAACAGTAATTCAGTCTCACCATCTTATTCAGAGATATGGGTATGTTCTGGGACTCCCTTTTACAGGAAGCTGAACTGAAGCGTACAGGTTGAAAGGTTTCTCCCTGAGACCTGACTCAGAGGTGCGTCAGACAACCCAGACCAAACCACAAAGCCCAGTCCTTTCTCTGCGTTGCTCTTTGCTTCCTCAATCTCATTTCCACCCCCCTGGGCCAACCTTCACTCCCATTTAGCCCCCCTCTAACCACACAGACCAAGGCTTGACCCTTTAGCTTCCAACAGTAAATGCTCTGCTCTGTGAGGCAAGACATGTAGATAAGGCAGCAGATATCAGATTACAAAGTCTGGCAAAGTGAGTGCACCTGCGGCCTTTACGATGCTTTATTTTAAACGCCTGTGAACACTGGGAGCTGACAGCCAAGCTTCTTACAGGGCTTTCCTGGCTTCCTATCTTAAAGATGTATGGTGACAGCAGGGCAAAAGTAGTGACTGGAACTGATGCATATTTTGGAAATGAATGCCAGTGGTTAATTGCTGGTGCCTTTCATTTGGGTTAGATTTCATTCAAAACAAGGGAAGCGCCCAGACTCGAAATCCACACTGTAGGGACCAGAAGTTACCTCCACATTAAGACTCAGGCCAGGGTCACTGGCCCAGGGTGGAGCAGGCATCTTGAAATGGGGACCACTTCTAGAAAGTCCACCAAGGCAAAATAATGGCAATCCAAAAGCTCTGAAATGCTTCCAAGTTTAGATAACATTATGCTATCACGATTGCCATCATTATGCTTTCTTATTTATTTATTTCATTTTAGTTTTTTGGGACTGAGTCTCACTCTGTTGCCTAGGCTGGAGAGCAGTGGCGCCATCTCAGCTCACTGAAACCTCCGCCTCCCGGTTTCAAGCGATTCTCCTGCCTCAGCCTCCCGAGTAGCTGGAATTATAAACACCACACCCGGCTAATTTTTGTATTGTTAGTAGCAACGGGGTTTCACCATGGTGGCCAGGCTGGTCTCCAACTCCTGACTTCAAGTGATCCGCCTGCCTCGGCCTCCCAAAGTGCTGGGATTACAGGTGTGAGCCCCCATGCCCCACCCATTATGTTTTCTTTACTTTAATATTAAAGTTCAATTTCCAAATACTAAAGTTAAGTCAAATTATCTACTAAGCATTTACCATTACAAAACATATAAAGTGTGTCAACCCTGTATTGATAATCAAAAGTTACCAGCTCTGCCATGTAATAGCTAGCTAAGGTTTGACAGCTCACATAATATCTCTGCCGCCTTAGTTTTCTCTTTTGCAAATTGGGTATAATGGTAAATACCTGCCTCATAGGTTACTCTGAGATTTAAATGAGTTAATACCCATAAGGCATGTAGAATAATACCTGGTCCTAGGTATAGATTTCAGAATATCACCTATGATTACCATGATTATTATGTGGAGTAAAAGCATCTTGATCATTGCACTGTTTCTCTTTCACTCTTCTAGGTCCCCTGCCGGCACTACAGTGGGAAGTTCCTTTGCAAAGAATTGCATCCCAGGCAGAAGGCAATGCTTTGGGACCCTAAGAGAGACCCATTCCCAAAGCGCACAGGGAACAAGGCTGGAGTCCAAGAAGCTGTTCTTCCAGAGCTGTCCTCTGGCACCAGAAGGCAAATCCCCATTTTTCCCCAAGGTGAAAACCACCCGCAATCATCTTCAAACAGGCTGGCCGAGCCTCAGCAGCCAGCCACTGCAGAGGTGCAGCTGCAGGCGTCAGTCAGGGGACAGTGCATCAGTCACCCAGAGGCTGGAAGCCAGTGTCGGGGGTTCAGTAGGGAACAAGGCATGAACAGGAAGGCACTCGTGGGTCCCCACGCTCTCACAGCCCCTCATCCTCATCGGCGGCCACAGCTCGGGGCCTGGATGACAGGAAAAGGCCACGCTTTCTTGTTACTCAGTAACTTGAGCATCTCAGAATCACAACCCCAAACCCGAATAAACCTCAGTGGCAATCTTCGAAAGTTTTGACCCAAACTAACCCTTACCTGGCTGCACTGAGAGGACACCCCAAATCCTTCTTTATTAAAAAGGTACGTCTTTTTTGTTTTCATTTCAACAAAGCTAGCAAAGAGGTGCCCACCCCGAAAGGCAGCAGCCACAGCAGGGAGACCCCACTCTAGTCCTCAGCTACACCTTTCTCGTGAATCACAAGCAGAGCTGGGAACGCCACCTTCACAACTTCCCTCCGGGGGACCCCCGCTGCAGATCTGTGTGGGGGTGAGGGAAAATAACTGAAGAGCAGCAAAGCCTGAGCCTGGAGGCGACAGCAATCTGGGTAATGTGGTGCTGGAAAAACAGACCAAGCACAAAAACAAGCACTCTGAAAAAAAGGAGGAAGGGAGGAGCACCCAGCAGCACGCTGATCTATCCCGTGAAATACCTCCACCTCTTCTTCCCAGCCTAACCAACACCTTCATGAACCTCTGCAAAATGTGCACTTCAGACTGCACATCCGTGCGTGAATACACATACACTGACAGATACCGATCCACAACAAACACTGATCGTATGAGGGAAGAAAATAATTTGAACTTCAGACTCATCCGGCAGGTCCTGGTTCTCTTTCACTATCAGCCTCCCCACCTATGCTGAGCTGCTCCAAAACAAAACAAACAAGACCCAACTCCTAGGCAGAAAGGAAACAGCAGTCGAGCTGAGCAGCACATGCTTGGAGCGTTCCTGCCATCGACTTCGGATTATTTCTGCTTCCTTGAGACGCAGCCATCAGCATGGGACTGAAAGCAGCCCAGAGAGCACCGCCCGCGCAGCGACGCGCACAACCCTCCCTTGGAGATGCGCTCCCCGGCTCGCGCGGCCGAGCCCACGAGAAATGCACAGACCCTCCCGGGAGGCTCTGCCCACGTGTGACCATGAGCCTTGCGAAGCCCTTCCCTTCCATCCTCGCGTGGCCACCCAAAGTCTTGCCTACACCTCGTACGTGCAGATGTCAATTCCATAGGAATACATGATGTGAGGACAGAAATGGGAATGACTGGAGACTGATCTTCTCGTGACCACGTCTCGCCAACACGGTGCGCCCAAGCACACCGCGAGTAAACGCACACAGCCGGTAAACAGCCATCCCCACCATGCTCAGCCCACAGTCACGCGTGGGGAAAAGACAACGGAGAGGGCGGCGGTGGCAGGGGAAGTGGCAAGTCTCCCGCCCGCGTGGGCTGCTCCCTGACAGCTCGGCGCTGCCCCTCCCCCTCCCGGGAACGGAGCCCACCCCGGGGTCGCAGGCCCACGCGTCGGGCGCGCTCGGGGGGCTCCGCAGCGCCGTGAACGGGACAATGAAGACGCAGCGACGGGCCGGGTTCCCGCCGCGGTGGTGGCGGCGGCGGTGGCAGCCGGAGCCGCCCGTGCAGCCCCCGCCACGGCCACCTCCGCCCTCACCTTCCCGGTCCCCACTTACGTTCCGAGGGTCTCCTTGAACTCGAAGATCTTCTTGATGTCTTCAGCCTGCTTTTTCCAGGAGGAGCTGCTCTCGCCGTTCTCCCGGGCCATGGCCGACGAGCGCCGCGCGGAGGGGCGGCTGGGGGCGCGCTGGGGAGGGGGCGCCGGGGGTGCGGCGCGGGCGCAGGGGCGGCGGGGATGCCGGGCGCAGAGCCGGGCAGCTTCGGCTGCGGCGCGGCTTCCTCCTCTGCAGTTTCCTCTTTCGCTCTCGCCGCCGCCGCCGCCGCGGTCCCTCCCTGGCTCTTATTTCTGCTGCTCTCGGGCACAGACTTCCTGCCGCCGCCGCGCGCCGGCTCCTTTGCCGCCGCCTGCCAGCCTCACTTTCTGCTACTTTCTTGCCTCCCTCCCGCTCCCTCCCCGCCTCCCGCCGCGCTCCCCACTCTCGCGCCTCCTCCCCCTCCTCCCCCTCCTCCCCCTCCCGCGGGCTCCCCGCCCTCCCAGTGCTCCCCAGCCGCTCCCCGCCTCCCGCGCGCCGCCTTCGGGGATGTCCCGCTCCCCTCCCGGGAGCGCCGGGCCTCGGCCGTCGCGCCCACTGGAGCCCCGGCGAGGGCGGGTGCGGGCCCCGGGCAGGTGCGGGGCGCGTGCGGGAGAACCCCAGCCCCTCGGGGAGCTGGACGCGGAGCCAAGTCTGGGGGCGCTGGGGATTTCCCGTCTCTGACGGGAGGGGGCGCCTCTGCGCGGCTCGGAAGCGCTGAGCGGGCGGGGGTGCGCGGCGGCCGGATGCGGGGCGCCGAGGGCGGGGCGCCTTCCCGCGCTGGGGCGGGTGTCGTGGGGGACCCGAGGGGCGCGGCGCGGCGCGGGGCGGGTGGGGGCCGGTTGCTATGGCTACAGGCGGCGGCTGCTGGGATGCAGGCGGCGGCGGCGGCGGGAGCTCCCCCGACCGGGGCGGCGGGCGGGAGCTCGTTCGCATTGCACCAAATCGTATTCACGTCAGTTTCGGGACGGACCCGGGAGGAGCAAGCCGGGGAGCCTCCAGGCGGGCGCGCGCAGGACGCGCCAGCCGCTGCCTCGTGGTCCCTTTGCGAGCAAAACTCCCAGGGGTGTTTGGCGGCCCTGTGGGGGCCCCGGCGCTGGGCTGGAGCGGCCGGTGGAGCTGGCTGGCCTGGCTACCCTGGCTCACGCTTGGCCCCTTCGCTCATCTCCCTCTCTCCTCCTAGAGGCTTAGTGGAAAGTGATCGTCTGCTCCGCAGTACCCTCGAAGGAGGGGCTCACCTGCTTTCCCGCGGGCAGGCACCCGCTTTCCTAAGGGCTACCAAAACTAACCCAAAGAATTCCCTCCCGACTCCCATCTCCCAGCTGTACTTTGGCCTGCCCGCCGCACTCCTGGTGTCCACCTGTCAGAGGGCGGCCCACGTGCTCCAGTTCCCTGGTCCCCAACCTGCAGGGGTGACCTCTTGATCGGAAAATTTTAGTTTTCTTGGTATCAATACTTCCCCTCCCCGGGGCCCCTCCTCGGAGTTAGGTAAACAGCCCTGTCTCTTGACTGGAGACACCTGTCCCATTTTCCCAGGACTGTTCCAATTTCACTGTAAAATGAAAAAAGAAAGAAAGAAAGAAGTCTGCTCCCTGTAAGGAAATTTCATCCATCACCTTCTGCCTAGTTCTGACTCTGGCTGGAGTAGAGGCAGGCCAGATACTCTCCCTCAGCTTCTTCCCTGAAACCAAAGAAGTGGCTCACGCCTGTAATCCCAGTACTTAGGAAGGCCGAGGCGGGTGGATCACGAGGTCAGGAGATAGAGACCATCCTGGCCAACATGGTGAAACTTTGTATCTACTAAAACTACAAAAATTAGCTGGGTGTGGTGGTGCATGTCTGTAGTCCCAGCTGCTTGGGAACCTGAGGCACTAGAATCACTTGAACCCAGGTGGCGGAGGTTGCAGTGAGCCGAGATGGCCACTGCACTCCAGCCTGGCAACAGAGCAAGATTGTCTCAAAAAAATAAAAAGAAGAAGAAGTCAGACGACACCCTGGCATTCCCAGGACCTCCACGCTGGTTTCCATCTTTCAAAGATGGAGCTTAAGGTTCTCCAAACAGAAGAGCAAATAGAGAATTTACTTGCCAATTAGATATAGAATAAATCCACAACCCAATTTCCAATTTCCAAGAGGGATAGGTGAGAAGAATTACTAAGGAACCTCTTTTTTTTTTTAGACGGAGTTTCCCTCTTGTTACCTAGGCTGGAGTGCAATGGCACTATCTCGGCTCACCGCAACCTCCACCTCCTGGGTTCAGGCAATTCTCCTGCCTCAGCCTCCTGAGTAGCTGGGATTACAGGCACGCGCCACTGTGCCCAGCTAATTTTTTTTGTATTTTTAGTAGAGACGGGATTTCACCATGTCGACCAGGATGGTCTCGATCTCTCGACCTCGTGATCCACCCGCCTTGGCCTCCCAAAGTGCTGGGATTACAGGCGTGAGCCACAGCGCCCGGCCAAGGAACCTCTCTTATAGTTGGGGTACATTACCAAAGTCCAAGGCAAACAGCATCCCCTTTAATGAGAAATACATTTGGAAAACTGTCATGTATTTCACTTGTGCCAAAGGTTAGATAATAACAGCAACGGGAACCAGAGCATAAGTCAACTAAGATCCCACCTGATGCCCTCCAATGCCCCACAATCAACAGCTTCTTGTCCTTCCTTTCTCCTTCCCTTCCTCCCACTCTGTTTCCTTCTCCTTTCTTGCTTGTTCTCTCCTATGTTGCCCTTGCTCCCTGACCTCAGGAACAGCGGCCAGAGCTCATGAAAACAATTCTCATTCTCAGCTTTTATCCCCACAGCTAAAGAAGGGGATACTTTAGCTACTCAGCCATAAAAAAGAATGAAATCATGTCTTTTGCAGCAATATGTTTGCAACTGAAGGCCATTATCTTAGGTGAAATAACTCAGAAACAGAAAGTCAAATACCACATGGTCTCACTTGGAAGTGAGGAGCTAAGGCCAGCCATGGTGGCTCATGCCTGTAATCCCAGCACTTTGCTCCCTACTCCCAGGCAGGTAGATCACCGGCAGTCAGGAGTTCAAGACCAGCCTGGCCAACGTGTAACTCTGCCGTGACTAAAAATACAAGAATTAGCCAGGCATGGTGCTGCATGCCTGCAATCCCAGCTACTAAGGAGGCTGAGGCAGGAGAATTACTGAAACCCAGGAGGCAGAGGTTGCAGTGAGCCAAGATTGCACCATTACACTCCAGCCTGGGCAACAGAGCAAGACTCCATCTCAAAACAAAAAAAAAAGTGGGAGCTAAATAATGTGTACTTGTAGACACAGTGTGGAATAATAGACATTGGAGACTAGGGTGGGTAAGAGTAAGGAAGGGGAACTGATGAGAAATTAACTAATGGGCACAATATACCCTTTTCCAGTGATGGTTAAGCTAAAAGCCCAGACCTCACAACTACACAATATATCCATGTAACAAAACCGCACTTGTACCCCTGAATCTATAAAAATAATCATTAAAAAAAAGAAGGCAATTTTACAGTAACAATAAAGATGAAGGGAAAGCAAGGGAGAAGTTCCACATGGCTCTGTGGCCATGACTTTTCCTACCAGGCTATAAGCTCCTTGAGAACAGGCTATAAGCTCCTATTAACTTTTTCACCACTGTTTCCCAGCACGTGACACGGTAACCTACCCATACTGACTGATTCACAAATGCATGTCAAATGGATAAAGAAATGAAATTAGGATCAGGGAACGGTGGCTCATGTCTGTAATCTCAACACTTTGGGAGGCCAAGGCAGGCAGATCACCTGAGGTCAGGAGTTAGAGACCAGACCAGCCAATATGGTGAAACCCTGTCTCTACTAAAACTACAAAAGTTGGCTGGGCGTGGTGGCACATACCTGTAATCCCAGCCATTTGGGAGGCTGAGGCAGGAGAATCACTTGAACCGGAGGTTGCAGTGAGCCAAGATCATGCCACTGCACTCCAGCCTGGGCAGCAGAGTGAGACTGTGTCTCAAAAAAAAGAAAGGAATGAAATCGAGTTAAGGCTGCTGTTTGGTATTTGTTGTACTGGTAGGACTGCTACAGGGAGCTTTATTTCTTTTCCAAACTTTCAGTAATGATGTTCATTTGACATTATCAAGCTATTCTCAGCTGGATTAGGTCCTCATACACTTTTCTTTCTTTCTTTCTTTCTTTTTATTTTTGAGACAGAGTCTTGCTCTATAGCCAGGTGCAGTGGTGCAATCTCAGTTCACTGCAACCTCCACCTCCCAGGTTCAAGCAATTCTCCTGCCTCAACCTCCCGAGTAGTTGGAACTACAGGCATGTGCCACCACACCCAGCTAATTTTTCTATTTTTAGTAAAGAAGGGGTTTCTCCATGTTGGCCAGGCTGCTCCCAAACTCCTGACCTCAAGTGATCTGCCCACCTCAACTTTCCAAAGTGCTGAGATTACAGGCGTGAGCCACCATACCTGGCCAAGACACAAACTTTTAATAAGGAATTGGATCAAAGGCCAAGGCCAGAAGAATGGATGCCATGACCCAAAGAAGGAAATGGAAATGCCAAAGACAGATTCGGTCTGCCTTTATGATGGTCCTTTTTCCCTTACTGGATACTACGTAAAATGAAAGCTCTTGATGCCAGAAATTGCAATAAAAAATAATAGTCTCCATTCCCTAAGAATGGTTACACCTTAGCCCTTCACTGTGGCTCATTCCCGTAATCCCAGCACTTTGGGAGGCCAAAATGGGCGTATTGCTTGGGCTCAGGGGTTCAAGACCAGCCTGAGCACATGGCGAAAATCCATCTGTAATAAAACTACAAAAAAATTAGCCAAGTGTGGTGGCGAATGCTTGTAGTCCCAGGTACTCGGGAGGCAAAGGTGAGAGAATCACCTGAGCCCAGGAAGTGGAAGCTGCAGTGAGCCATGATCTGTGCTCCAGCCAGGGTGACAGGGTGAGACCCTGTTTCAAAAAAAAAAAGAAAAAGAAAAGAAAAGAAAAAAATGCCTTAGCCCTGTAAACAACCTAATTCCGTTCACTGGAGGGCCCCAACTTTGACTGTTCTTCAGAATAACTGGCCGTCTCCTCCAGTTTGCCATTTTTTTCTGGCGGAGCAGAGATCATGGCTCTTCCTTCATTTCACCCTTAATTCTGTTGTCAATAAATGATCGACAACATTCAACAGCTCTCAGTCAAAAGCCATCTGTTAGGTCGGGCACAGTGGCTTACAACTGTAATCCCAGCACTTTGGGAGGCCAAGGCAGGTGGATCATCTGAGGTCAGGAGTTCAAGACCAGCCTGACCAACATGGTGAAACCCCATCTCTACTAAAAATATAAACTTAGCTGGGTGTGGTGGCGCATGCCTGTAATCCCAGCTACTGGGGAGGCTGAGGCAGGAGAATCGCTTGAACCCAGGAGGCAGATGTTACAGTGAGCTGAGATCACACCATTGCACTTCAGCCTGGGTAACAAGAGCAAAACTCTGTCTCAAAATAATAGTAATTTTTTAAAAAGTCATCTCTTCCCCATCAATTCCACTCCAGTAAGCTCTGCCAGATAGTCTGGATTACTAAAGCTTAGGCCCTCCACCTTTATATTTCCCTAAAGCCCTTAAAATTTTAGGTTTAAAGAGCCCAAAGAAGAAACACTTTTAATATCCCATCATTAAAGGGTTACTAATTTTATGCCCATCAAAATGTTTTCCAAATAATTCTCTTACCAATACATCATGCTTAATGTGGCCCAGGTTCAGTCCTGGGCAAGTTTTGGAGAGAAATAGATACTTTGTAAGGCAAATACGCAGATTAAGTTTGAAAATTTCAAACTTATTTCTGTTCAGCCTCTCAAACGTAAAGTGATAAACCAGGAACACAAGCTGGGGTTGTGGAAAGAACCAGACGTGTAGAAACGATGCTCAAGTCTCAGATCTGGACTGCGTGTGTGTTAGACACTTCACCTAGGTTGTAG